TCTACCTTCCCCTACCTTTGTAAAGTAACTAAAGCAGCGGGGCATGCTCCGTGTTGTTCACTTCTTGCCAAAGAGACAGTTCCAAAATCATCCAGGAAATATAAAATAGTAGGAAGCATCACCATGGCAACACCTATTTAGAGCTTTTTAAAAAAGTAGATACTTTGGCTACAAAAATCAATACCAGAAGAGTGAAAATCTGGGAGACAGCAGCAAATTTAAAAGCAGCAATTATACAGAAATGACTGACTGCCAAGCATGGGAAAAGCAACATGAACAATCAAGGATCACAACAGATTAAAATCTGAGCATGGGAAGTCTTCCCATGAGAAGAAGATCTGAATAGGAAGTTTTTCTGATTTGTACACAGAGCTCCAACTGCCTGAAAAACACCCCTACACTAGAAAAGCAGCCTCTAACCAAGTGTAAAGTGTTCATTGTCTACTTTGCAGAATTCTGCAGCTGAAATTTCCTTTTAATCCCTCTTTTCAGACTTGATATTTGGCTTTGAAATTCTTAGATCTACATTATGATGGAACTCACAAATAGATGAGGATTTTTTTTAAGAAGTAGAATAACCAAAAAGTAGCAGATTCTTTCAGTAATGTGATGTGATGGTTCAAAGAGCATTTGGGCTTTTAGCACACACTCATTACAGTAATCTAACTGCAGCTTGGGCTGGTCCAACTACTCATGAAAGTTTAAGACTTGAGGGTGATCAGATAAAATATTTTACATGAGATGCATTACATTAGAAAATTAACACTATTTAAAGAAAAAAATAGGTATTTTTTTTTTCCTCTCTTAATTTCTTCACTGATTTGTTTTAGAACAAAAGCTAACCCATAACTTGAATAAAACCAATAGGATATTCAAAATCAGTGCAGAAGCAAGAAGTCTTGAGAAGTTAAAGTATAAACATTGGTTCTCTTCTTTATGCTGTTAAGTACTGGAGTTAGCCCAAGCTCGAGATGGAGAGGGTGACGTGTGATGGAGATGGATCAAGTTAAAAATGCTATATTTAACATGCCACTTTCAAAACATGCCCCAACTTCTACAGTAGTTTCTAAATCCTTTCATCTTTTTCATCCAACTTTTTCATCCAACTTTTCCTAGATGAGGAAGTAGTTAGGTACTTCACCTCTGAACTTCATGGATTCTGGTCTTAATGATCATCTGTTTCCAAAAGGAGGATTAAAACCAGCCTGGGCTGTAAATCACCAGTGGTTCTCTCTCAGGTTGGACTCAAGTTCATGTTGTACAGTTTTGCCCTCCCTACAGCAATGATAACTGGGAATAAAGCAGCCACCTTAAAAACACAGTATAATCTAGAACAAACTTCTCCAGAAAACTAACAAATAACCCCATTTGAATGAATGTTTAACATCTCAAGGTTTATGGCTCCTGGGATCTGTGGATGTCTTGTAGCTCCTTCTACTACATTTGGATGTAACAGCTAAAGAGCAGCTACAAAGGACCTCATCTTCCTTGAAAAACACATTTGAGTCATCAGCTTCTAGCACCTCAGGTTTAATAAAATCTAGCGCACAACTTGGCACAAAATTGAAAATAGGCTTTTAAGACAAGTCAAGCTGTAAATGTTAAGAGGCAGCTTCCCTTCAAGTAATTCTCCATTAGGTCTTTTTAGGCTTCATGCATGCAAACAATGCAAGAGGCAGAAGCTACATGTTTTCAGGAAGCACAGACCTAAACACAAGCCCTTAAATTTATAGGTATCAGAGACAGCCTACATGATTTAGCTGTTTTGCCTAGATCCCACTGGCTGTAATAAAAGCTTATATTCTTGAATCACATTTAAGATGTAGTTTTCACACAAAGTTCTACTTCTTAAGTGTCCAGGTCAGTACCAGCAATTTTTTTAACTTTTCCAGTATAAGAGATACTTTAGCTGTAAGTCTCTACAGCCTTTCCCTAGGCGAGACAACACTGTGAAAAGAGCTAACATTTTGATTTGTTAAAAAGAGAAACAAAGTTTAAAAAATCTCCAGTATCTTGCATAGCAGATTGTAACCAACATCTAACCAGTGAAAGCACATAACCAAACACACTGAAGAGAAATGGTTTCACTGCAACAGCTACGAACATCTCAGCAAGACCTCTAGAAGTCAGCCAATGGCTTGATAAGCATCACTGCTTGGTCTGTGTGTGAACCTTCAATAACAGCAATTTGAAATAGCAAAAATATGCTACATAAATCACAACTGCGTAACACAATAACAATACTGTTATTGCTCATAACAGAATTTGTCAGATCAAAGATCTCCTGCTGTGACAGCTCACTCAGTTTAAGGTTAACAGATCCAGCTGAAGAAAGTTCTCTTCCCTTTGAGGAGGGAGAAACTATTTGAGTTTTAATAAAGCTATCACTTCCTTTTTGTTAACCTTCTTCAGTATTCAGAAGTATCAGCATAACCAGAAGGAACTTAGCAGGAAAATATTCCTCTTAAAAGCTTAAGTATTTAAGAACTATTAAGTGTAAGATACAACTGTATCTTCATAAGATTATCTGAGAAGGATGATCAATACAAGAAAACAAGACCTTCACTCCAGCATAATAATTTCCCCTGCTAGCCTGTAACAGTGAGACAATTTCATTTCATATTTGGCCAGAAGTAAGACCAGATCACACCAAGTTCTTGGAATTATTCCTGCCACTCTGTTTCACTGCTAATGCCATGTTTTCTCAGATAGGTACAAAGTTTCCCAGCCTCCCTTTTGCATTTTAAGTTTGAAGTTAGTTGTGACCAACACTAGCTTGAAACACCTGCAGAGCAACACATCGGGATGAAAGGAAGTGTTTGCACAGACTGCCATTATCTTTCCCATTTTTCCTCTGAGCATCAGCAAGTGTAAAATGAACAAGGTTGTTTGAGTGAATATCAGGGCATAACCACATATTACTCAAACTGGTTGTGATCACCAGGACTGAAAATTAGAGGACTTAGAACTTAGACATAAAGAACTTTTTAGAGTCACCAAAATAATCTGAACAGTTTACATACAGCTGGCCAGTACAAAAGCACAGAAAACTTATCTTTCTCCCCCCAGCCAACTTCAGCAATTCATGACCAGTTGTTCTGCTTTGGAGTTGCAGCTTTTAGAGGAAGGGAACACTCTGGGATGCCAAGTCAACTCCAAAATTCATGCTTGGACAGCATGTTTTCGCATGAAGCACGTTTCTTTCTGTAGAGAAGCTCCCACACTCCTGTTCACTAAAGCTCATTTATCAGATGGACCACTAGTCGGATGGATGTTGCATAACTGGTCTTGGAGCCTTTCACAAGGTGCTGAAACTCCCTGCAGGATACATTTCCCCTCTTCTCACCACTTTTAAAAGATCTTTGGGCTACTACCAGCAAAGCAGGGCCCCCAGATTAGACCCACCAGGGAAATGCTGCCAAGCAAAGTGGAATAAAGTGAGAGGAAAAAAAGCTGAAGGGCCAGCCACAGTCAAGTCAGCTGCAGAGGAGTGACACAAGTCCGATCACCTAACCACACCTAGGCAACGAAGATACTTTATAGCCACTATAACCTCAACAACCTATTTTACCAAAGCTAGCCACAGGAAAAAAACAACAACAACAAAAAAAGTCCATTTGGAAAGCCACATGGAAGGGCTTTGTGGGAATGCTGTAAAAGATTCCTAACTGTGTACATCTTGTACTTCTACTTTAGATACACAGCACAGCTGCAATTCAGTTAGGTTTGGAAGACTACAGGAAGAAGGAAGACTGCAAGTTGCTCACTGCCAAAAATTACAAAGAGATACAGAAAGTGGTTGTGGCCAAACAATTGCCACTAAATGCTGTTCAGGGCCTTTCTTGTCATCCCCTAATCTTCACTCAATGTACGCTGCCCATCCAAGTCCAATGCCTCCCATTATGTTGGTGAAGAGGAGACAAAATGGTGAAATCCCTCATCAGTAGCAACATTCCTCAAAACATTCCTTTCTGTGATACATTTCCATAAACCCCAAGGACATTCTTCCTACACTGCACACATTTAAAATACACAGCAAAATTTCTAGCCTTAATCCTATTCCACAGACTCTGGACTGATTTAAACTTAATTTTAGCAGATAACAAGGATAGATATTTTATGCGGTCAGCATAGGTTACACTAACCCTGGAGAACGTCCCGCCACAGAATGAGACATGGATAGCAGAAATGAAATTATCAGGTAAAATAAAGATAATGAGCAACATTTTTTGAGTGAAAGTGACTACCAAAGTCAATTTGTAAACAAATGACTACTGAAACAGCTAAATTCTGAAGGTTAGTAGAGACTTCAAAAACAAATACTTTAAAGGCCTAGCAGAACAAGTGTTAAATTCAGTATCAGCATCCCCAAAAATAAATTAAAAAAATCAGTGCAATTCTATCAATAATATTTAAATTCTAACTAATGCTTAAATGGCAATGTTTTATTTAAAGTTGTTTTGTTTTTTTTCTCCTTAAGAAAAAAAATCCAAGCAATGTTCATGCTGTAAATCACAGCACAGGCTCAATAATAAAGCCTTGACCTGCACAGGCATAAAGTAGAAAAACCTCCACACATACAAGAGCTGGATTACAGCCTTAATACTACTGCATACTAAAAAATCTGTTGCTTTAACTTCTCAGTTATCAAGTTGTTTCAATGTTACTCTGTTTTTACCTGCAACAAAACCATTTTACCATAGTGAACTCACATCTGCATCAAAAAACACTCAAGCAACTAAGTTTTTAAAACCAAGAACACTAACTCCTTATATAAAGGGATAAATCAATAAATTTATTGTTACACAATTACCTGAAGAGCTCTTTTGCTTCAAGGAACTGAAGCTGTGCAAACTGTATAAAACCTGCTTGCTGCAGGATTCGTTTGTACATTACCTATGAAAGAGAAGGGGGGGAAAAACGGTTTATTATATTTGTAAGGAGTTGTTCATGCAGTGCTAGTCACTACTGCAGTAACTATCTGGCAAAACCACTGAACCAATGTTCTTCAGCCAGCCCTGTCAAGTTCCATGCAAAATAAAGCCTTGATCGCCTACATTTTAAATTGTATGTACCTGAGTATACTTAATCTCCTGCCCAGACCCAGTTTCTTACACCAAAGTGTGTGAACATACACACCGTTCACAAGTACTTTCTGAAAGCAAAGCCAACAAACAGCAAGTTCATGTTCTCTTACTTAAATAATAACTTACTTGACATCAGACTTACTTGCCTCAAGTTTCTGCTTGTGGTACTTGCCAATGAGAATACTACATCTTTGAAGTTCCCTGTGATTCATTAGGCACAAAAAGAGATCTAAACTCAAGGGTAGTCAAACTTGACCACATACACCCCACTGTCTCTCCATCTCACCTCACTTCTGAAACCTAACTGGTGATTCTCATAGTCTCATCGCCAGCTGATGACCATCTTTCTTATTTTCTGCCAGTTCAGGTTGGTTTTTTTTTTGAATGTGTGTTTGATTTTTTAAAAATACAGTTCAACGTATCCAATATGCAATACATAATGTAATGTACATAAAAATATGGTTAAAAACAGAGAAGCACAAGTAAACCATAAAAAACCAACGTGTTACAAAATTTTACTGTTAGGGTTACACCTAGATAGAAAATAAAGTTTACAAGAAGTTCACTAGAAAAGGAACACAAAGCTAATTTAAATTGCAGGCATTTATTTAATTGGAATGGTCAGTTAGTTACCACAAGATTAATCTTATGCCCAGAATATTTCCAACAGCAAAAGAGAATTACTAAGAGGAAGGAATGCAAACTGTGCCCTGCAAAGCATCCACCGTTTGTGACCACATTGGTATTTTGCAAATCCACATGCCCTCAGTTTTCTTCTTCAACTTTCTCAGGAATACACAGCTTTCTAATGATTAACAGCGTGCGTTAATGTTGTTATTACTAACAGACACCCATTTTCAGTGAAAATACTCAGAGCAACTGCAATACTTTAGCAATGTATTCTGGGCAGGAATTGCTAGAGTGTCAGGCCTCAAAAGTAAGGCAGACTGATATTCTAATTGGTGATTTTTTTTACCCTGATTAAAGAGTGTGGATTTACCAAGAGAAAAGCTCAGCTTAAGTCCATTTAGTCTGTGCATACTTTCTTTAATAATGGATTACCTTAAGGAAATATTTAATCTAGATAATTAGCAAGCCATTAAAACCTATTGATTTGTAAGGCTGTGGAACTTTCTCCCCAGTGTGGAGGAGATAAAGGGAAAAGGGAAATGCCATCTGGCACATCTTTTCAGACAAAACTAACAATATAAAAATAAAGAAACAAAATTTAATTATATCTTTACATTAATTAAATGTTACTATGCTTTATAACCAACTCTACTAATTCAAAATGTAGTTAACTAAAGCTAAAAGGGAATTTAACTACAGTAATATAGTAAAACTACCTCAAGCGATTAATTAATAAAATATCCAAAATAATTTGGGTATACAACTGTGTTATTATATCAATAAATAGCAATCTGTGAGCTGATGAACACCCTGGTCTGGTCAAAATCTTAAGGATGACAGTAACGTGCTTCATTCTACAACTACCTGCATCTCGTGGCACCAGAAAAAATTCAAAAATCTGATCTCAGGCTTTCCTGGGAGGGTTGAAGTACAAACATTTCTAACCATATTAACTAGTGTCAAAAGTAGGTTGCTGGGGTTTATTTTAAGTCTGTTTTCAACCTTCAAAATGGAGTGACTGCAAATATTTACGTATTTAGTGAACTGGGATATTGGAATTAAGTCTGAATTGCTGACACTGTAAGTATAGGCTCAAGGAATCAGTTTTAAATTTAAACTGATTACATGCTATTAATTTTCATTTAAATGTTGGCATTTATCAACTTGTCCCTTAAAGCCACAAACCTCTAGAATGCACACAGACACACGCTTTCCCAACTTATAAAAAATGCAGTGATGGGAGAGGAAGTATCCAGGTTGATTTTTAACTGACAAGATAAACACTAGACAAAAAGGTGTCCTGTGGTAAAGATTATGGAAGCAAGAGATCAGACTGTGGAAAAGTCAATATTCTCTTTCTCACAGTTTTTAAGAACAGGCTAGACCTATATGCCAACCACACACAGTTAACTCTTTTATTTATGATAGAAAAAACCTAAGAGTTCTTCCAGATCTGTCAGAACACTGTAATAGGCTTATTTAAAAAAGGTACTAAGTTACACCTCAAAAAAATTCAACACATTATTTCTCTATTAATTTTGAAGAACCTCCATAGCACTTGAAGTACTTTACACAAATGCCATATTTTTAAGTGAATTCACATTAAAAAACCTAGCTCCAAAAACATGAAATAAGATTTGCATTCATTCACATCTGAAAAAGTGCCACAAAACAAATGACTGCTGAAGTTGCAATAGCAATATAGTGAAGCCTTAATTATTTCTACTGCTAGAAAAATCCTATCTAAAATGGTCAGAATTACCAACTAGACTAAAAAAAAATATATTTTTTTAATAGAAAGTCACTTTGGCTTTTGGTCAGGTTTGGGATCAGTTAATATGTCTCTTGAAACGAAAAAAGCAATGAGATGGAAAAAAAAAGAAAAAAGAAAAAAAGAGAGATACCTATGCAAGATGTGTGTCAATCTAACCAAGGTCTTCACTACCATCAACCATGATTTCTGCAAACTTCAGCTGTCCTGAAAAATTAATAAGTAGTATTCAGTCATTTCATGGTAGTATGGTAGAAAGGCCTTTGTATTCTTCTATCAAAAAGGATATCCAAAGCCACCTCCCTGCAACACTTGCTTAGCATTTTTTACCTAGCAGTAATTCTTGATGCTCAAAACCAAAGGGTACTTCATCTATTATGACAGATAAATTTGCAGTCTGCAGAGACCACAGGTTAAATAACAAGTTACAGCTACTAATGCAAGACCTGCTACTATCCAATAACTAAATATTGGCTCTACAGACAATACTGAGAGTTGAATACTTTACTGTTTCAATACCACTATCATTGTGTATTACAGCATTTATGCTATTGTAATATTGTTGCTATAAAGAGAGCATGTGCCTGCATATGCATGCCAGCAACAATACAAAGTACTAAACTAGGGGAAAAAAAAAAACAAACACGTCATCAAAACCTGTCCTACAATGCCATGACTGAGTTCAAGTTATTGCTCTCTACAACTACTTGAAGGGAGGCTGTAGAGAGGCCAGTATTGGTCTCTTCTCCCAAGTAACTAGCGATAGGATGAGAGGAAATGGGTTTAAGTTGTGCCAAGGGGTGGTTTAAGTTGGATATTAGGAAAAATTTCTTTACTGAAAGAGTGGCGAGGGATTGGAACGGGCTGCCTGGGGAAGCGGTGGAGTGACCATCCCTGGAGGTGTTCAAGAAGGTATCTCTTGGAGGTTAGAAATGAGCAACAAAGTGATCAGTTACAAGTATGCCAAATAAATGTTGCAAAAGACATATGTAAGACGTAATTTGGTTGAATTCCATCAGATTTATATAATGTGAGACTACAGCAAATGATGTGCTTGTAACAAACTCGTAATGACAGCATTAAGTATCAGGGGCACATGAAAAACAAGTTCAACATGTTACACCTCCAGCTACAGACATGCTCTGAAAAATCACATCTCAACAACTAAGACAAGTAATTTTAATATGAGTCAATATTGATTTTATTAATAGAATGAAGAAATAATAATATATTAAATATTCCATCAATTTTAAGCTGGTTAGTATCAGTTCATAGATACAGCCTAGAACTAGAACAGGCTATTCTGCTTGCATGTAAAAAGTTTCCCATTTTTCAGTTGTAGCATTGATTCAAAGTAACTGTATACACTTAAAAGAATGTTATGTTAGAAAAACCTTACAATGTTATTGAAAACAGAAATTTCAGTAAGGCAGACACTGTGCACATCAGATACACATGAACAGGAAGTAACTTATCCTAAAGACAAGAAAATCCTAAATGCAAGAAAATTTAGAAGGAATGAAATTCTACATCAGGTATTTTAGAAAACGAATTGCAGTTCATCCTGTGATAAAACACAAGAAAACATCTCTCACTCTAAATGTACAGAAACTGGAAAGAAATAACTGGAGAATTAGTGGTTATCACACACAGAAGACACTTACTAGATCATGCATCCTGTACTCACAGCAGGATTTTAGTTTGCTTCTTTAAACAGATTGCTAAGGAAAAGTTGGAAGTGAAGACACAAAGCAAAATATGCTGGAAAGCTAACTCAGGATTTGAATCCTAGAATCATCAAATGGTTTGAGTTGGAAGGGACCTTAAAGATCATCTAGTTGCAACACCCTGAATGCATTTGGCTAAGTATTTCTCAGCTTCAAGTACTTTCAGATAGTTATACCTTAGTGAACAGATGAAACACTTTTCTGGCTAAGCTTTTACTGCCAGCAGCCTCCTGGCTGTCCATTCAATGGAGGAGATAAGGATCAAAATAAAAGCTAATACAAATTTAACTTAATTTATTGACTGCTTTTCAAGGGCCTTGGCCAAAATCTAAATAACAAGGAATTAAAAAATTATTGAAATTAAAAACCATACTAATCCTGACTAAGTAATTCTGGACTACTGCAATTCTGTTATTTCCATGTGCTATTTTAATAGCAAAAAAAAAAAAAAAAAAAAAAAAAGATTTAAAGTATATTTTAAAAAAAAACCCGTCAGATTTTCTGCAGGTTACAGATAAAACGTTGCTTTTACAAAAGAAAAAAAACAACAACAAAAAAAATCATTTACCTATTTTGTGAGTAGAGATTTCATGCTACTTTTTTGAAATTTCATTCTCTAAGTGACGAATAGGAACAAATACTGTAACAAACTAGAGATAGAAGGAAATGTGTACAAACCTGTAGTAAATATTCTAATCAGACTTACTAACAGACTTTGCCACACAAAAATCTTAAGTATTGTTACGCACAAACTTTGAAATAGAATGTATTTGCCTTAGATTTCTCATCACTTAACTCTGAATTTGAAGTACTGTGGAGCTTAGGATACAGCGAGAATCTCCAATTAAAAAAAGTAAAAATTCTGATTTGAAATAAAGTATACTTTTAAAAACAGCAATAGCAAATAATCATTGAACCTAGTAGTAAGGAAGCATCACGGTGGATTTTCTATCACTAGTTTTCCTGGTTTTGTTTACAATTTTTGAAGTTACACACTTGAAAAAAAAACAAACAAGATCAAATACCCAGCAGAAGAGCAACATTCAACTCTGTCAACAGTGCAGCCTTTGCAAGCACAAGCCCATTCAACAGCACTTCTATTTCCTCAGGCTCAAACTAAAAAAGTTATTAGGTTTCTCTTCAAATGCAAATTCCTCCCCCATCAACTCTAATCACTTGACCATTGATCATTGACATGATACCACTGTGAAATTTATGTTTTCACTAATATTAAAGTAAGGACAGACCTGAAATTTCTCTTTTGGAATATTCCTTCGAGCTCCTTTTGCTAGAACAAGGGCTTCTTCCACTCTGTGGCCAGCTAGAAGATCTTGAATCTGTTTTTCCAAAGGTAGTGGCACCAAGATATACACACCCTTATTAGTAGCAACAATAACCTTTCCTGCACAGAGCAAACAGACATACTTGGTTTACATTCTCTACACACAAAAAAACCCCCACATCAGAAATAAGTTTAAAGGGTTACAATTTAAGATACAAGAACCTACAGTGTTGAAGTTCCAAAATTCATCTTTGTTATTACCAAATTTACTAGATAGCATAATTTACAGGTAAATTTCACCTCAGAAATACAGAGATAATGGTAAATTTACTGCTTTACAGCATATCTTGTTCCACTGTGAGCAAATGAAACTGGCTATAACCTCTCACAATAAACTAAGCTGTAAAAGCCACCACTGAAACACTTGTCCAGATTCTAAAGAATGGGGACTTTTAACTGCCAGATATTTCTACAAGCTTACATTGGAAATTTGTAAGCTGTATATCAAAGGTAACAAGTAACATGGAGTTCATATTGCTAGAGTGTGTAGCTCTCCTGGAAAAACAAAGCAACACAACGTATTACACACCTAAGAGCTCTTAACCAAAGAACAAATAAAAATAAATGTTTGTATTTTTTTTTAACACTTCCTTATGAAATATCCTCTTTTAAATCTCTTGCACAGATATTTTAGAAAGGGATACAAAATAACAGATTTTTAAGATGTTGGAACTTTGTCAGGGTAGCCAATGGACAGATACCTGTAGCTCAGAATTATTGACTCACAGCATTAAATCAACATTGTTCCTTTGAAAGAAATAATTAAAAATTTCTAACCCTACATACTTCTATTCAACAACTAACTTGATAATTAGGACACATCTGATGAGCACACATTTTGTTGGAAGCTTGCAATTTTGGATCACTACAGTTTTCCTATCATAGCCTGCAGGAATCTGATCAGGCAATCATTTGCAATCAAAGTTTCAACAGTTAACGTGCCTGCTAGACATTTTTTTTAAATAACAACCTGAAGTGACTGTGCCCACAATGGTGATTGTTCCAGAGCTACTCATGAAAAAAAAAAAAAAAAAGGGTCCTTTTTAATACCTTCGAAGTCCTGTAGAATGTGACCTTCTTTAAAAGGCAGTGTTTGCTTTTGCTGCTGGTCCAGCATGCTGTGCACTGTAATGAACTCATCATCCAGAGCAACCACATAAGGAAAGCACAACGCTGCTCCAATCACGTTCTCTGACCAGTGCACAGGGGCACGCTGTGAAATGCCATCTACAGTTGCAAACATGCCTACAAAAAAGGGGAGAAACAAAGCCTGAGACTCTGCTAGTTGAAGACTATTGTTCTCCCAATGCAAACTATAGGTACCAAGGTACAGAAATAAAGTCTCAGAACATCAGATGCAGTATCAGGTGGCATGACGACAACACATCACACCTCCTGGACCTTAAGAGACCTGTTGAATAGTTCAGTTCCACTGTACATTTTTTCCTTTCTTTTTCTTTTTCCTTCACCACAGAAACAGACAACACCAAAAACTGAGAGGAATACTGAAAGAAACTAGGAAGAATTATTCAAGTTTAGTAAGTTTCAGATTTTTTTAACAAGAACCATGACATGTAGCTTGAATTAATTTCAAAACACTAATATTGAGTGAGACCCAAACAATACTGCCTTAGTAGGAGCTGCAGATTTGCACTGCCTGATCTATTTGGCAATACAGGCACATTTGTTCCTTGTAGTGCCAAATGTCTGAAGAGCATTTTAGCCAACAATCATTTTCTTATACTTCCTCACTTTTGTTACAGCAGAATTTTCACAGAATGAGTGTTTCCATCTCCTTGCGACAAGTCTCTTCCTGTGATGCATCTGTGCTTTCAATCATTTGGAAAAAAATGCAGAGGCTGTGTATAAAGCATATTTTCCCAAAAAGCCAAGCAATGAGTAAAGACTTTAAGAGCCCAGTGATACCTCCTATGGTGTCTTCAAACCAACCATATTAAATCTTCAGTTAATTTGTGGGGTTTTTTGCTACTATTCTTCCTCGTCTCTATTCTGTCCTTCTTCCTTCTCCTAGCTTAATAGAAGCCTCAGTGCTTTTGGACCATACACCACTGTTTCTATTTATGCTACTTAGTATTTCCCAATTCTTCTTGAGACATTATCTGAAGAAAAGACCCAGTAACCCTTTACCAGCTGAGCCACACCCAAGCACTATGTTAACTTCTGTTCTAAACGTGAATGCATACCCCATAAAACCAGTATTCTCATGCCATTATAAAGACACTGCCAGGAAAACTGTGACATCTGGTAGAGTTAAGTGTGAGCTCTAAAGGACAGAGAAGATTAAAAGATTATGCAATTCAATTTACAAAATCTCTTCCACACAGAGGATAATGAGGTAAGGGTAGCTGGGCAGGAGAACCACCTTGAGGAATAGGGGCAGGAAAGAAAAACAAAGTTGCAGATTTTTGCAGAACTAACAGAGTAGACATTAAGCTTCTGGATCCTTTCTAGCAGCTTTGAAATGATCAAACAACACAAAAATTTTGCATCTCACTACTAGCAAGTAATGTTATTTGGTTCTGCACTACAATGATCAGCTTTTCTATTGGAATGCCTTACAGAAAATACCTTTTTTTGGTCAAAATATAATTTCCAATTTCCTCTACAGATCCCTATATTCTCATGGATGAGAAGTGGAATCTTACACCAGGCAGAGTGCACTGCCCATTTCCAGTGCCTTCCAGCTGTTATTCTGTACTAAAACTACATTTCAAGAAATGGGAGAAAACCTAAGTACATATTAATCAGAAGTAAATTCAGGGCTAATTTGAAATATTAATTCTTAGACTTTCCTAATTGCCTGACATTCTCAAAAAATATTATAAAAATCTGATTTTAATAACTTTTTAAAAAAATGACAGTTATTTTCTAGGTAGTTAAACAATCCTTTATGGAAGTGAAAGGTATGCAGGGTAATGCACAGTACTTTTCCAAGTCAGGGTCTCTATACACCCCTCTGCCCTCAACAGCTAGGGCTTCTGTGGTAGAAAGATGCATTTGCCATTTTTGATCCAGCTCTCTCCTAAGGATAACACTAAACATGACAACAACAATCAGAAAACATGGCGTTTTTATAGTACAAGAATGCTTTTGATGAAACTGTGATGAAGCCAGCAATAAATTCTGTATTAAAAATGTATATGCTATTGAAAGTTTACAAGAGTTACCCAAAACACAGCTACACTGTCTTCAGTACCAAGAACTCTAGAAAATTATAGAATGACTGAATAATTTAAGTCAGAAGGGGTTTCTGAAGCTCCCTCTCACCCCACTCAAAGCTGGGCCAACATAGATCAGGATACTCAGGATTTTGTTTTAAAAGAAGAAACAAACCAAATTTAAAATCTATTGCACCGATTCTTAATGAAAATACCTGTAAAAATTACATAAAGCCTCTGTTTTTTTTTTATTTTTTACTATTTGTTTAAAAATGAATAGGAAAACTTTCAAGTATCATAAAAGCTGACAGCATAAGGAACACTACAAGTGAGTGAAAACGAAGGGAACATGCTGGTTACTGCTGACTATCCTGCTTTATGCAGTGTCATCAGCTGTGAGAAAAAATGCTGCTTAACCTTCTATGAATCAGTCTGCTTAGCACTTGTGTGCTTGTTACTAAGTTAAAAGGTTCAGTTCTCCAACTCCATTTGTAGTCTACTCTCAATCACATACAACTGTTCAAACCATGCACCACTGAGAAGACTTTATTCTGGAAAAGCAAAAGAAATAAGTTAAAATTGGGTATTCAAAATCTGTAAATTTTTACTCATTAAAGGCATGGAATATTTGAAGCAGTAAGGGACCTCTTGGGAGACTCTCTGGTCAAACCACCCTGCTCAAAGTAGTGTGAACTTGAATGGGTTGCTCAAGACCTCACCCAGTCAGGTTTTGAGTAGACTTCGAAGAACAGAAACTCCACATCCTCTCCAAGACCTATTTCCTGGTTTGACTACCACCACAATGAGGAAATTTTCCTATGTTTATGTAGAATTTCCTGTATTTCAGTTTGCACCAACTGCCTCTCATTCTTTCCTTGGATACAATACCACCGAGCAGCCTGGCTCTGTCTTCTTTATCCACCCTGTACAGTTGATAAGACCTCTGCCAACATTTTCTTCTTCAGACTCAACAGTTCCAACATTTTCAGCCTCTCCACATACAAACTGCTCTAATCACTTGGTTGTCTTTCTTGTCCTACAGTGCATTCACTCCAGTATGTCCATGCCATTCCAAGGAGCCCAGAATGGACTCAGCACTCCAAACACAGTCTCACTAGGACTGAAGGAAAAAATTGCCTCTCTCAACCTGTTGGCAGCACTTTTCTAATAGAATAATTTAGGTTGGAAAAGACCCTTAAGATCACCAAGCCAACTTCTAAACTAACACTACCAAGTCCACCACTAAATATGGATTGGTAGGCTGCTGGACATCTTTGCTATATTGTTGACTCATGGCCACTTTGCCCACCAGCACCCCCAGATTCCTCTCTGCAAAGCTGCTTTCCAGCTGGCCCCCAGCCTGTACTGGTACATGAAGCTGTGTCCCTCCCTAGGTGCACAACCAGATATTTCACTTTGCTGAACTTCATGATGTTACTATCAGCTAATTTCTCCAGCCTGTCAAGGTCCCTCTAAATGGCAACACAATCCCCCAGTGTATGAGTCGTTCCTTCCACTTTTGCATCATCTGCATAGGTACTGCATGTGTGCTCTGCCCCACCATCCACATTGTTGATGAAAATGTTAGTACTGATCTCACTATTGGCCCCCTGAGGAACCTGACTAGTGACTGGCCTTCAGCTGGGCTTTGCGCTGCTGCCTACAAACCTTCAAGCCAGGCTTTCCGTGCCCCCCTCCCCCCACCCCGTTTCTCTAGTTCATTCTTCATCTACAAGTGATGAAGATGTTATGGGAGATAGTGTCAAATGCCTTCTTGAAATTCATAATATCACTGCTCTCCTCTCGTCCACCAAACCAGGTATCTAATCTTAGAAGACTGTCACGCTGATCAGGCAATTTCATTTCTGTAAATCCAGGTTGAGGCTGGTCAGTTTGTAGTTCCTTTAATCCTTTCTCTTGTGCATCTAAGACAGGAGTAAAGACACTTGATTTCTTCCAGTTCTTCACCATCTTATGGATACTACAGAAGGGCTGTTGTCCTGACATTCACATCCCTAACCAGGTTCAACAGAGCACATCCCATCATCAACTCCTCAGTCACCTGTGTCAAGAACTTAACACCAATGCACTCCAAAAATCTCCTGGACTGCATGTGTCCTGCTGTGCTGCTCCTCTACCAGGTACTGGAGAGGTTCAAGTGCTCTCTAAGAACCAGGGCCCTGCAGATGTAGGTTTTTTCCTATTATCTGAAGAAGGCCTTACCTACATCTTCTTCCTTATAAGGTGGTCTGTAGCAGACAGTCACCACAATGTTACCCATGTTAGTCTGCTCTCTAATCCACAATGTCTCAGCTGTCTTCTCCTTTGTCCCAAGGCACAACACCACACCTTCCTGTTGCTCTCATGTAAAGGGTAACCTTCACTTCAGCTGTAAACATATAGCTACACTGATTTCTCAGAAAAAGTGAGTGAACTTTCACCATCATGTTGTTAAGCAGGGCCTCTTCAGTCCTGTTTCTCGATTACAAGGTCTCTCATTCACCTCATCATGCATTCTGTGTTTGCCAACTCAGCCCACAACCACCATTACTAGCTTGAATCCTTCTCACCAAGTTGGTCAGCCTGTTCACAAAAAAACCTTTGCCTCACTTGGCCTGGCGGCTTGTACCTCTTCTTTAAATAGGGATCCATACTCATAAAAGCCAAATCCCTCATCACCATAATCAGTGCAACCAGTTGGTGACTGTGATACATCCACTCCTCCTCAAGCTTTCTTTCCTCACCAGCAAGACTGATGAGAAAATCTCCACCTCCAGAATTTCCCACTACTGCTACTGACTCCTCCTAGTGATACTGCATTGTACAAGCACTGGTGATTTGTTGGACAGAGCTTCCTGCTTCTCATCTGCTGCCATAGGACTGACCATATTCTACAGGTGGAGATGCACAGATAGAGAGGGAGAGTTCTTCCTTTTAATGAAAAGTCACAATTTTCCAGCCTTTGCCACCACAGAACAAGTGGAAACAAAGCCTGCCTTTCCCTCACTACAGCTGGAGGTTCAGGCTCATGCCTGGATCCAGAAGATTCACATTCTTTTTTGTCATGTCTGATGGCTCTGCTGATCTCCTCCTGCATCCGATTCACTTGGCAACACAAATATTCAACGAAGCACATACCTCCTGCAAACAACGACAAGATTTCCCCCTGTCCCAGTCTCAGCAAGAGGCACTGGGTGCTTCCTTCAGCTTAAGATCTGAAGAGCTACACCATCCCTTAAGAGCTCATTCTCAGTTGAGGCATCTCATATTTGAGGTCAGCTGCTCCATTTGGTGCTAGGAAGCATGCCCTGTGTCAATATGCTAAAAATGTTTGCTGAAGTTTTAGAAACTTAAAGCCTCCATAAGGCAAGAATTCTGATTAGAAACATGCAACAAGAAATGTAAAACTGAATTTTGCTAAGCATTGTCTCAAACATAATCAGAAAGAATTGACTTTCAGTTCTGAATGAACAGATTACTGGACAAAATGAAGATGCATCTAAAATTAAGTTCCTCTTCTCTCTGACAGGTCAAGCTATATACTATCTGCAAGGACGGCCAACAACGTACTGAATGGCTAAGCCTATGGAGCAATCATGAGCAATTTTAACAACCAGTTTTAAATGCAAGGAGACCAGATAACATACCTAGGTAAATCAAAGATGTTTTTTACTTTAGGATTACCATTCTAAGCAGTTGCTTTCTGCCATTCTAAATTGCAGTCTTAACTCAAATGCAAACTCATCTAGATGTCACTTCAAACACTGTGAAGCCAAATATATTAACGCAGAACACATCCACCTCAGCAAAAGAGGCTGAGTTTAGGATAGATGCTCTACCAAGTGCAAAACAAACTTAACCAATAAGACATACAAAAGCTTATGAAATTTAGAATTGAAGGTTTACATCAAGCCTTTTCAAGTCTATTCATTTCACAGTAGAGGCTAGCTCAATTGTCAAGCTGTAAAATACATAATAAAAAGGTGCTCAACCATCTTCACAACTTCAATGAAAAGTGTTAAAGACACCATGAATTTTACCAAGGAATAACAACATCATAGATAATACTAATCAAAACAACAGTAGGGAGAGAATAGAGAATATATAGCCAAAAAAACCCATAAGATGAATAAGGAAAGGAAAAACTGAACTACTACTACTGTAGTAAGCAGTCTTTGTAAGGTTTCTGAGCTAGTAGACTTTGCCTGTATTATGGGGTTGCAAAAAGAAAGTTTATAGCATGTTTAAAGCTGCAGAAGTGCATTTGCTTAATATATTACATATCAGGTATTTTTACCCCAGGACAACCTATTTAAACAAGGGTGTTGCATTTTATGAGGGTCTTATGGTATAGCTCAGTTCCATGACACCAGATGGAAGCAGAAGTCAGACTAAATAAAAACCTGCTTTCTAACTAAATATGATTACGTTTTTGGAAGTGTATCTACTCCTCTTAAATCAAAAAAGAAATGAACCAGTTGAACAAAATATGGTCTGACATTCCAAAAAAAGATAAAGAACAGAATCTCCTTAAAAACACGTCAAAAGGGAATACCTTCCCACAGTCAATACACAAATTTTAACGTTCATAGCACTCCTAGAATGGATAATGTCCACAAACGCATGTCCACACTTCATGTAACTAAAAATTTTAATATGAAGCAGGCAACCAAGATGACTTAAAAACACCCAATGTCTGAAAAAAAATACTCATCTCTGAACATCTTTAATTTGCATAAACTGGTATTCTAACAATTCTCTACTTCTTTCAAGAAAAAATTGTGAACTGATGTACATGTCAATTCTGGGCACAAGACAAAACGTCAGCATAAACAATTGATTGCACTCCTGCTTTTCTCTGGAATTAAAAAAACCTAAAATCCATACAGATCCCTGAATTAAGGACCTAAATAGTTGCAATCTTTGTGTCATACTATTCCAAATGTGTCAGGAGGGGAGAAATATATATATAAACTGCACCTCCTAAATGGAGAGTCATATGGCAAACAGCATGAAAGCACTCTGCCTGTGGTCTTCCAGATCTGGGATACTGCAGCCTTTCCAAAAAAAGCTCAAGATTACTGACTTCACAGCATATTGTTGATTTAGACATGTTACAGCAGCAGTAGTACTTAGAATCATCTATTATACAAGAGCATTTTTTCACATGATTTTTGATTTTGCACTACTTAAACTACCATTTTCTATAATATGGAGCTGAAAAAGTGAACCAAATGGGAGCAGAAAAGCTGGGCAGAATCTAACAATATCTACAGTTAGGACAAAGTTTACTTTCCAGAGGAGTTAGGATACAGTTTACTTCCACTAACATTTCTTACTAGCACTGTGGTACAACATACCTATTTGTGAATCCTGCAGTCTATGAAATTGATTTCATATGAACTCTTCTGAACAGCAACTGAGGAAAAAACTAAACCCATTCCAGCTAGTCCCTACAGAGAGGCCATCAGCCTCTTAAGTTTCACTTGGTACCAACCTACTTTTTTACTCTGGCCTGCAAGATACTACTACTGTTAGCTGTCTATATGGAAATGAAGCTTTCTACAGACATGTTTAAAATACAAATAATCAGATTTTTGTAATAATACCTAATACCAAAATGTACCATCTACCTTGTTATGTCAACATTTGAGTATAGTCCTGTGAAGAAAATTATCATTATTGTGCACAGTAAGTAATTAGTTCAGCTTTGCTTCCCAAACTGAGAGCAATTATGAGAGATAAGTTTAAAAAATTGCAAAAAAATTTACAATCCTTAGTCTCACCTAGGCCTCCGGGGCCAGCCAACAGAAATTCTTGTCTGCCTATCCTTTTCACAATTGGCCGTTTCTCATCACTGCAATAAGGAAACAGATCCTGGGAAACGCCGGTATTATAATTCAAAATAATATACTGTGTAGTAAGTGCAAGACATAAGTAATAGCCATCTACAGCCACAGCACAGGGTTGCTCTGGAGTAAACACTTCCTTCACAATCTGGACTCTGTCTTCAAACACCATGAACATCTGAATGGTCCGCCGCTTGACGGAGATAATGCAGACTTCGACACAGAAAGGATCCCCACTCACAGGGTTTTCATTTAATGCAAATGTCACAGCTCCTTTGATTCTAGCACCAGTGGGGATGGGTTCCAAGTTCATCATGTTAACTAGTGTTATTGTGTTGTCGCAAAGCACAAGAAGCCTGGTGAGGGCAGAGGCTGCTTTCAACTCACTCACAGGCTTCTTCAAGCCCAAGTATTTATGTAGTTGCTTGGTGGCAGCAAAAGTTACTTTTCCAGCTGTTGAGATCTTTTCATCCAACAGGAAGTGATAGATGAAGCAGTCATTGGTTCCAATATAGAGGTTCTTCCCACAACACTCAATGCATTCGATGTTGATGTAACTCTTGTCTCCCATTAACATCTCCTGCTCTACGGCAGAAACGAGCTTGAAAGCTTTAACACTCATTGTGTCTTCTGGGTGATCTGATTAAAGAGAAAAAAACCCACTATTTACCAACACACAACTAATCAAATATCAAAGCTTGCAAGTTAATATTCACCAATAGAAAAACTTTATTGTTGCATTCTTTACTGCCTATACTCTATTTCCAACCTGATTATACAAGCCAAAATGAGCGCATGAATAACCACAGAAATTAATCACATTATATGCTTCCACTCCAAGCCTATTCTGAAGCAGACTCACAGCACCCAGCTACTTTGAAGTGATGCACTCTCCACAAGTAACCAGCATATTACTAGCCCTCTCAGTTACTCTGGCCCTACACGTGGATCTTGACAGGTTTATAAATCACTGAGTGCTGACATGTACAAGTTTATACCTCCTGTACATGAAAAGACATAAGCTTTAGGTCTCAGATTTCTAGAGAAGCCACAAGACATTTAGTGCTACAAGTTAACATGCCACTTAAATAATAATTTACACGAGGTATCATCCCACTCATAATAAAAAAATTTTGTTTGTGACTTTTTTTTAATATCTGCAGTGCGTGTTTTATTCAGCATTACTTACACATTCTTTGTATCAGACTATAGGCACTGGTAACTATAAAGCAGTCACACAGCAAATTTGGAAGCATGGTCCATAAAGGGTTAATTAAACTTAAGATGCAGTATCACAGAAATAGGAAGTTTCTGTTCCCTATCACAACCATTCCAAAAGTCTCTCTTTAAGTGCCAAACAGAACTTCAATATTAATTTTACAAACTATGAAATTATTATTAGTGTTTTTAAAAGGCTGTGTGATTTTACTGTACTCCAGACTTGTGTTAGTTTTACAAGAAACCAGCATATAGCTGTGCTCAACACTATAAAGAGGAGCAGATGACAAATTGCTGGCCTTGTTTAATCACCATTTAATTTGTCTTGACTGGTGTGCAATGACTGCTTAGCCAACACAGGGGAACACTGAACACCTTGAACGAATTTAAGAAATAAAATTTACAATTATTTCTAGCCTACATGTACAATGGAGATATAAAATATCAAATCAAATTTTTGTGGAGCAACAGAAAGACCAACATCAACAAGACACTCCTAATCCTAAAATTAATCACAGTCAATATTACTTCAATTTCAAATCACTACACCTAAAAAAACGTTTTGCAAGACACTGAAAAAAGAATCCAAAACTGAGTGAGAAAAAGGTACACAACTCACAAGTAATCAGTAAATAAAATTAGAGCAAACTAAGAATATAGCCAGATACAAGTCATATTACAAAGAGACAGTAATGACTTCTCCACACCCGCCCCCCCCCC